ATGGGGAGGCCCCCCAAGGCATGGAAACCACAGTCTGACCCCAGGATTTTGAAGAGGGCCAGAGCTATTTCAACTCAAAAATCATTTCCTAAGTCAGACAGAGAAAACTCATACACCCTGCCCCCTCAAAGGAACCCATCCAATTTCTTAATTATATTTGGATATGAAAAATATTACTCAACTTTGCCTGTTCAGTAGGTCATATGTACAGAAGTAACCTTGAGGCAGGGAAACTTTTGACTTACAGAGGACTTGCCTTTCAACCAAGAGATGATTACCAGCCATGGCTTCAGTTAGACTTCAACCATTTTATCTCAATGAAAAACTCCAATATCCTTTAACATACTTATGGCAGAAATGTAATGTAAATCACATTTTTCCCCTAACAGTTTGTCAGTCCTTCCAAAGATATACTAAACCTAATACAATTATTTTTTTGAAGGTATTAAGAACTGGGCTTAGTTAACTGAGATGGGGAAATGGAGTAAAGAGGGGGAGGAGCCCTATCAAAACCTGAGGGAATGATAATCTCAGTAAAGGGGTAAGAAAACTATGTCCTGTTATCAGGAGAGACTATATTGCATACTTTCTACTGCTACTATACTGCATTTCTATCTTTTAAGTGCAAATCTGTTTAATAAGGAGTGAAGTAAGATATTGCTTCATGTATTAGGTAGATTTCCTAAAACCAACTAAAAATTCTGTTATTTGTAAATGAAATACATGATGTTACTCACACCTATCCTCCAGAAGGGAAGGTTTAACCTGAACACACAGGTAATAGGCTAGAAGTCCGCCCAGACAAGCTGCCATCTGACACCGGAGTTGGTCAGAGAGCATGAACTTCAATTAAAAGACACTTTAAAAAGAAAAAGTGATTATTTAAATATAACAAAAACAAAACAAACTTAACACCATATCTTTCTGGGTCAAAGGACATGGAGGACTCAGAAATCAATTAAATCTAGTAAATAATGTAAACCGAAGAAGCGCTCCCTTTCAAAAATGCTTTGGTTAATTTTAGCATCCTTCTGTTTAGCTGCTTAGCAACCCTTATCCTATGACCTTTTGAGCATCACCTACTTTTCAGAAGGATAATGAATAGAAACATCAAAAGGATTCACTTCTGACTGTTTCTAGTGAATATGTTTAACCAATTTTTGTAGGAGTTAAATTTATATTAATTATGCCATACAAATCCCTACAAGAGTAGAATTTTTAAAACTTTATTAATTAGGAAATAGCCTTTGCTGAAGGTAATAAATGATGTTGACAACTGAGCGTAAGATAGCAAGCAAAAATTTCCAAACTGACCTAGGAAGTGGACCAACATAGCAATTTAAAATGGAACAGAAAAATGAAAGCTACATAATAGCAACCGGCTACTGCCTGCCATACAGCAAGTAACTAATAAACAGCTGTACATCAGGTGAAGGATTAACAAGGTTAGCTTTATTTCCCCCCTTCAATATTCTGTACCTGTCTTGGATGTAAATAAGACGTCAGGAGTCAGCCTGAAGAAACCTAAAATAAAAGACCCTTGAGTCAAAAGGTCACTCTTGTTGGATGATGTAAACAGTTAGGAATGGATGCTCGACCTGTGCCAGCTGAGTCAGACCCATCTTCCCCATCACATAACAAACACTTCTCTGCCATGAGGGCTTAGACTCTTAATTTTCTAATGATAAATTAATATCTAGAAAAACTCAGAGAATCATATGCCATATAACAGTAAGCATCAGCAGCACCTAAGAGTATCACATAACCAGCAAATACTCTTTAAAAAAACAAAATATCCTAAAATGCAACCAGCTTAGCAGTATTTTTAAGAATGATAAAACAGTGCAAAGTGCAAGTTCATTAACAACCTAAAATGGAGCACGAGCTAAACAAATAACTAAATCAAAGGGCTCTCCCTTTCTTTTGTAAAAAGGGGGTAGGAGGGAAGGTATTTTTTCACACATTTAAAACTTGATAAAAGCCATTCAAATGTTTAATTCATCAGTGTAACCAAAGCTTAAAACACATCAAAGCAGGATCCATCAGCCGGTACCCAGAAGGCTCCCTCCAAAGAGCAGCAATAAAAAAAACAAAAACAACCCTAAAATTAGTGGCTCACCTTTGCATAAATTTGAAGAGTCATTCTGAACCTATTCCTTCAAAAGTTCTCTGTGACTCTTGAAGGAAGCATAGAACTAAGCGTTTGCAAAAAAAGAAGAAGAAAGAAGTTTTAGCCTTAGACTTCCGGGTTACATTGTGTTAGAACTGTACCTGCCTACTCGAAATCGCACCAGATCTGGGCGATGCTTTTTAAGGACGAAGAAGCTGCTGATGGTGGCTGGGGGCACCCCCCCAAGCAAAACAAAACAAAAACCATCCCTTTCTTTGCAGTTCCTTTTCCTCCACCTTCCCCTTCAACTGAAACTTATTTCAGAATACACTCACGTGCATGCACAGACCACTGCACAGCTGAAGAAAAAAGATCTCAAAAATATGGGATGCACATTAGCAACTCAGCCTTTACAGAAATCATCTCAAGTCTCCTCTTCAAGACAGAAATACCTCGCTATTTCCAGCATCCCTATCCAACAAGCAATCTTTATTTCCATTGGTTTTCAAAAGGCTCAGCTTAAATCTACACTCTAAAACAAGCAGGAGGGTTAATTCTGCGACGGATGAAAATCTTCGGGCAGGTTTTTTTCAGCACACCAAAAGTTCTATTTTTTTATTCCCCCTTCTATCCCTCTCCACCACCATCACCCCCCCATCTCCCCCCCAAAAAAGAAAAAAACTCCAAAGTGCCCCGAATGTGTGCTGCTGCTGGCTCTGAAGCCGTGTAGAATTTCGTAATGGAATGTGAACTGCTCGTCCGGATCTGGGCTCACGTTCTATCTTCTAACCAGTAAGGATCGAGGGAGGGCAAATCTGCTGAGCAAGGAGAAATACTTTCCTCCTCTTTTATAACCCATCACGGATGCACCGCGGGCGCTGGACGCGAGCTG